ACAATAACAGAGCCCTTAGCACAGAGTAGATGCTCAATAAATGGCACGGCAGAATAATACACGCATAAAAAAGTGTTAATGATGAAAAGTTAATCCATCCTCAATTAGAAGTAAATATAAGACAACAGTAAGCTGGGGTGTGGGAAGGCATAAACACGCCTTTTTACAACCACTTGCTGCCAGCAGGTGGAGATTAAGTTAAACCACCACCTTGAAAGATGGGAAGGATATAAAGCCCATCAGAGAGAGAGCTTTCCATTCCTCAAAAGCAGATCCTAAACTCTGGCATTCCTAAGCAGTTCTATCCAACCACGGAAGTTCTTAACCAAAAAGCAGTCTCTCCTTAGCCTGGGCCCGGAGCACAAAACTAGGAATACCCCCACCCCCAACAAAAATAAACAAAAAACGCACACCTAATTTTCTCCTCTTGCCAAGCTTCTTAGATGCTAATCTGCACAGGACTCAGACTCCTGGGGATCTTACTGAAATGCTGCTTCAACATAGCAGGTGGGGCGTGAGTCTCTGCCTCTCTAACAAGCTCCCAGGTGATGCAGATGCTGCTGGTCCATGGCCCCCACTCTGCACAGCAAGGTCCTACTGAGCCCAGATGACGGTTCTACTGCTTGTCAGCCAACAGCAGTCTTGAGGACTTCCGATTACTGCAATAGTCTCTCCCTGGGTAACAAGCAGGCAGTTGTTCTAAATCAGCGGTTCTCAACCTGGGGAGACTGTATCCCCCAAGGGACACTGGGCAATCTATCTGGAGACATTTGTGGTTGTCACAACTGCGGGGGTGAGGGTGCTACTGACATCTATGGGTGTCAAAGGTGCTGCTGAACACCCTACAATTCACACAAGGGCCCCCATGACAAAGAATTGCCTGGTCCCAATGTCAACATGCCAAGGCTGAGAAACCCTGTTCTAAATAAACAGAGAATGTGAATCGAGTGCTCTCCATTCGTCCCAAGACTATAGATTTTAGAAGTGGGTCATTAATCCAACATTGATTGTCCTTTCCCAGGCTAACTCCGAGGCGTGGGAAAGGTAAGAGATCACCAGAAAGAATAGAATGCTGTATCTACTAGAGTAGGGGTCACCAGGCCATGGTCTATATTTTGTTTAAAATCACGCATGTGTGGTTCAGAAAGCCAGTGGGTGACCTACTAAGCATTAAACTTTCTACCATTTTGCGGTATAGCAATTTAACAGGACCACAGCTCTATTTAAGCAAAGGACCTAATGTGCAGCCTATAAGCTCCATGAAGACAGGACCAAATCCAAAATTATTCATCTACAGAGCTACAGCGCCCAATGCAGCACTGAGCATGCTGCAGATACTCAAATGTCATGAGTCCTGTACGTTCAAACATTACTTCAATTACAAAAATGCTTAAACAGACACAGAGATTAAACCACTCTAGTGTGACCTGGTCTATTATTTGTCATCATTACAAACATTATTTCAAATCCCCATTAACGTATGCCAAAGCGTGGATGCTAGCGTAGAAAGAGCATGGGTTCAAACTTCAACCCCAATCTGGCCTCTCTCACTTACTTGCTATATGGCCTGGGACAAGTTACCACAATGTCCGCATCTGTAAATGGGTGTAATAATTCTTACCTCTGACAGAACAGTTTTAAAGTAATAAGGTATGATATACTTTAATACCATGTGGTTGACTCAGAATAGGTGCTATTTCCTGTCATTCTAAAGGGCTTGAGTGGCCCTGGCTGGTTTGGCTCAGCGGTTAGAGCATCGGCCTGCAGTCCAGAGAGACCCGGGTTCGGTTCCCGCTAAGGGCATGTACGTTGGTTGCAGTTCGTCCCCGGCCCTGGTTGGTCGTGCGGGTGGCAGCCACTCGATGTGTCCCTGTCACGTCAATGTCTCTCTCTCTCTCTCTCTGTCTTTCTCTCTCTCTCTCTCTCTTCCTCTCTCCCCCTCCCACTCTATCTGAACAAAAAATGGGAAAATGTCCTCGGGTGAGGAAAAATAAATAAATAAATAAAGGGCTTGAGTAAAATACCCAGTGAGTTACATGGTGCTGATTTCTACACTCAACAATATGTAGACTTTCCAATGAGGCTAGGAAGAAACAGAATCCCTCTCCTTCAAACCAAAGGCTGTCATCTTTCAGGTTAACTGAGCATCCACAGAATTATGACCTTGTAGTTTCACTATGGCCATTCAGGTAGCAAGTAATGATCATTAGCAAAAAAAAAAGAGAGAGAGACCTATTTGGCAGGTGAACAGTGCAGTATTCATCAGCAAGGGTGCACCAGAAGCAAAGCAAAATGTACTCTCTGCTAGCAAATGCCCAAGGACCTGAAAACTCAGAATCATCTTTCCCAGAATGGTGAAAGAAAGGCAATTCAAAGGAAAATGCCATGCCACAAGCAAAAGACCATACAAGTTCTCAACCTGTGGGTCGCGACCCCTTTGGGGGTCAAACGACCCTTTCACAGGGGTCGCCTAAGACATAACAGTAGCAAAATTACAGTTATGAAGTAGCAACGAAAATAATTTTATGGTTGGGGGTCACCACAACATGAGGAACTGTTAAAGGGTCATGGCATTAGGAAAGTTGAGAACCACTGTTAAGGAATAATCCACGACCAACACTCGCATTTTGCATCGCTCAGTGTCGAGAGTGACTGTCTCGGATGAAAGGCACAAATTTGCTGGTTCCATGGACATCGCTATGCCTTTGGGGGGAGAAATATCTAGAAGAGTGCACCAGGCAGCAACACTTCCCCACTGACAGGAGCAGGTGCACAATGCCAGGAAAGGTAGGTGTGACCCCAAAGGCGTGAGAGAGGAGCTCCTGTTAGCTTCAGCTTTGCAGAGCCCAGAAATTAGCGTGGGCACAACCACGCTAATCCTAATCAGTATCTGAAACGTCACCAGAATTGCACAGCCCAGGGAACATTAAGAGGCTCCACTTAAGAGGCCCCTGAGTGAAACCTGGAGAACAGCCTTGAAATAATGATAATAATAAGCAGCTGAAAGCCCAACCTTATCTCTTACGATGTGAAGCTGGGAACAAAACATCAGGGTGACCCATGAATGTGGCAATAACTCATCACAGAGTTTTTGACTTGCTGGGAGAATAAGCATTCCTAAACTGAGTCAGATCCCTGGTCCGTGTGGTGTTGCCCATAACATCCCCAAGGGGCAGGACCCAGGAGGGGCGCAGACACTCCACCTGACTTCAGTGTCAAAGCCAAGACCTGTCCAAGTTTCCCTCAGAAGCCATTCCCAACTCTGTCATTCATAAATTTGCCCAGACCCTTCTTAAATTGCATGTATATATCCTGCCAGGACCACCTCTTGAGATAATGAGTTTTAGAAGATTATTCCCTGCTGTGTTAAGCAGTATTTCCTTTCTTTAGTTTCCAGAAAAAGAAGAATTAGAGGTGAAACAACAGAGAGGTTAATGTTGCTTTCATCCAGGAGCACTCTTGTGTGTGGAAAGCGGACTATTCAACACTTTGGAGCCACAAGGCATTTACATAGCAATCGGGAACTCGGAAAAGTTAATGACTTCAAGTGTTTGATGAAAGTCATTCAACTTGTGTTTATGAAAAAAAAAAGGACTGGACAAAGGCACAATATCTGTTAGTTACTTAGTTAGAACACAACTCAAATAGCGTGGAGTCCAGCAATGTGTACAATCACAAAGCCCTGGGTGCATGCATACATTTTGCGGGGACACCTTACATATTTCTGATTAAAAGCTAGGAACCTGCCCTGGCCAGTTTTGCTCAGTGGTTAGAGTCAGCCCGCAGACTGAAGGGTCTCTGGTTCGATTCCCAGTCAAGGGCATGTATCTGGGTTGCAGACTCAATCCCCAGCCCCAGTTGGGATCTTGCGGGAGGCAACCACCTGATATGTGTCTCTCACATCGACATCTCTCTCTCTCTCCCCCCCTTCCTCCCTTCCACTCTCTGTAAAAATCAATGGAAAAATATCCTCGGGTGAGGTTAACAAAAAAATAAAAGCTCAGAACTTTGGAGATTGACGCCTAAAGATTAGAAAAATAAAGCACTCTGGCTACCAGAGGGGAAAAAATTGCCAAGACAGATTTATGGAAGTACAACCTACTTAAATATTTTGGCAGGTCAGAGAAACCATCAAAATGGCTTTCATCTGGACAATACTGGATCCTAGCCCAACCCATTCCAGCTGCAGATGCAAGTGTGATAACCACACCTAGAAATGGGTTCCATGTTCCCGCCTCCCCTCATCAGTGATAATAAAATACACACTCTAAAGGGCCAACTGTTTTCCTACTGGCTCCAATCTATGTTAATCATTGTGTCAGGTCACTAGAGCACATTCAATCAACAACACATCCAATATAAAAAGATAAAAAAAAAAAAAAAAACCAATTTGTAAAACACCAAGCATTTTGCTTTTGTTGACAATAAACCGGGTCTTTGTTTTTAATAAAGTTAGTCTGCACTAGTTGATTACAGAGGGACATGTGAATGAATCCACTGTGCGTATACATTACAGAGTTCACATGCTCGTGAGCAAAGACAAACATTTTAGAGGGAAACGAAGGAACACGCGAGGCATTTGCGGTTTTCACGCGGGCTTGGCCATTAGCGGAGCAAGCTGGGCACTTGGCCTAATCTCTGAATCTTTTTCCTAACCTGTGAAAAAAACACTTAGGTCCAATTTTTTTTCTGGGAAGAAACTCTATCAGAGCAAGTGACCACCTTTGACCTCCATCTCTCTAATTTACTGAGGGGTAATATTCTTAAAGACCACACACACACAGTTTGATAAGTGACCCAGTTTTATGCAAACAATTTCAAAGTGAAATTATTACTCAAAGACAGCTACACTACACCATTAGCCTTTTCCATTCCTGTAGATAATTAAGGCCCTTAGTTTTATCATTTATACCAGCTTCTGTGGGCCACAATAATTTCAGATCATTCTCAAGCGTTTCTTCATCCCAACCCCGGAATTGAAGGGTCACGGCTCTACTTACAGTTACGAATGTTATTCCAGTCGACCTTTGAGAAGAAGGGGTGGCAGCAGAGGCCTTCAAACTTCAGTCTCTCTTTCTGGCCGCACAACAAACTTTGAATCAGATCCAGTAGTTCACTACTAACTTTAAGGTCATCTGGAAATTTCAAAAACCGCTATTCCAAAAAATAATAATAATAAAATCATTATTCCCTTCGCAAACTCAGCTTCACATGTCCCAAAGTTAATAAAAAAAAGTATTTCTCATATATGCAGGTTTCTTTTCTGTTTTTTAAAGAAGGGAGTTTGTGCCCTCCTCACTTTGGACCAAAGGCATGCTCCCAAAATAAATAGCCGTTCACATCAGTAGGCCTGGTTTCTTTGCAAGGGTTCACTATTTTTCATCACTTGACCCCTGCTCTCTCCCATTTCATCCAGCTCCACGCCCCATCTAGCTCTGGGCTGTCCAACAATGACGAGCTATTTAAAGCTGCCTGAACAAACCATGCTGTTCCGTCCGCTGAGAACACCCTCCCCAGCCGAGCCCTTCCTTCCCGGCCCACCTCTTCTACCCTGTCATTCCCTCCTGCGTCCTCCCTCTGTCCTCTGCTTTTGCATGTATTCTGGTGTCTGTGTGATGGAGGAAGAGGCAGAGAGAGCCTTCTCCCTGCTCATCACTGCAAACCTGGTACCTAAGAGTACTAGGGCAATCCACTCCTTGCTGAACGGGTGGATCGAAAGGAAGGAAATAAGTCAGCCCCAAGAATCATCGAAGAGGAAACGTGAACTCAAGAGGAGACTCAAGAATAACAAATAACTATGCATGCATTATGCACATAAAATATGTATTATACACATACAGATATGTATTAAGTATTCCAGAAAGATGTAATTGGGTGAGATACAAAAGTCTGTGAAATCAGTTCTCTTTTTCATTTTGGTTGAAACGGAAACATATATATTTATCGTATCTTTGAGAAAAGGGCTTCGTATAGTGAACAGTCAATTATTACAAAACTGTATTAAATCCTACTCTCTCTATATTACTGTATTTCTAGTTCACGTCCTCAATCACATTCGACAACTATTAGTACTAGGAAGCAGTATACCCAAAACTTCAAGAGCATGGACTGCAAAGCCAGACGGCCTGTGTTATTTTGGACAAGTTACTTAACTATTCTGTGCTTGGTTTCCTCATCTGTTAAATGAAAACAGTAATATTCACCTCACAGGGTTGTTAGAGAATTGGTCAAGTTAATAAACTATATTTCATCCATTCCAAGACTCACATTTATTAACATGTCACAGCACTGAAATCAAAGTGCAGTTTACATTCAATCAAATATCATAGATTAATTGGCAGCAGGTTCTCCTTTTTAATGGTACACAAAATAATGATGTAGGCTTACAATTAATTACCGGCAGCAGGAAGTCGATCAACTACCATTAATAAAGTGTTTGGAACAGCTTTTGGCACAAAGTAAGTGCTATGTAAGTATCTGCTATTGTTATTAACCAGTACCGCTGACTTCCATTACAAATGCTCATTCCACAATTTTTATTTTTTTCTTTATTGATTTTAGAGAGAGAGGAAGGGAGAGGGAAAGGGAGAGAGAGAAAGAAACATCAATGAGAGAGAACATCAATTGGCCGCCTCCTGCATGCCCCCATTGGGGATCGGACCCACAACCTGGGCATGTGCCCTGACCAGGAGTCTAACCAGCAACCTCTGAGCCACACCGGCTGGGCCATTCCACAATTTTTAAATGACATTTCTCAATATTACTTCAAAATCGACTGATAGCTCTTTACCTGGAAATTCATGATGTTATTAAAGGTTCTGGCTGAGGTTCCCTCAGTGAACGGGGACCGTCCATAAACCATCTCATAAGCAATAACTCCCACTGACCACCAGTCACAGTCCAGGCTGTAGACACCTTTTCCATCCCCATTCATCACTGTCAACACTTCCGGGGCCATGTAATCTGGGGTCCCAATCGGGAGTTTGGCATTCACCTAGAAACCCATAAATAAAATAAAATGAACACAACAAGCTTTCAATTATCCTCAAATAGACTGCGAGCAGCCACATTTCAGACACAAGTTGATTTGCTACTGATTACTATTCTTCCAGGCACTTAAACCTTCTGTCAAGTGGTACACTGTCAGGAAACGCAAATAATTTACCTTTTTTTTTTTTAAGCACATAGTATAATCCAAAGGGAAAGGGCAAAGAGTGGATGGTATATACCCTTTGGTTACACAAGGAGAGGGGAGTATAGACCTGAAACGGAAGACATCTTTCCTCGTACACGTTACTGATATGACAACTTTCCTCACTTATGAAACAGCAAAATGGTAACAAATCCTAAAGATGAATCTGTAAAATCAATCTACCCATTACTGAAAAAAACTGATACCCCGCTGGCAACACAATAAGACAAACATGTTATATCTCAAGTTTAAATATCTGGAATCAACATTCTGACTTTGATCTATCCATGGGGCAAGATAGGAACATCTGCACCAGCGGTCAAATGTTAATGAGTTCATTTTCCTCACCCCCAACTTCTGTTCCCTGGTTCCCTCCCCACTGTCCAGAAACCAGGGCCCTAGAGTCCAATGGCATCCAAGCACCTGTCCTTGGCAAAGAAAGATTAGGACGATGTAGGGTGTCTTTTTATAAAGCCAAACAGAATCCATTTAAAGAACTGTCCTTTTTCCTGGGAATCTATCCTTCGGCCTGTTTTGGTGTTTAAATGTCCTGATTCTTGAAATGGTGCTCATGACAGAAATAGGTTTCCTCCCCACTACCCCCACCTTTTCTGAGGCAACCTAGTAAATTGGCAATGCTTTTGGTCTTCAAAATTGTTTTGAAGTTTTATTAAGCCATGAAATTTGAAGTCTAAGGATCACCTCTCTAACCTTCTTCCCCATAAACAAGACAGGGCCTGATGTCAGTCATACACCGTGTTGACCAGTTGCCCAATAACCCTACATCTAAAAAGGCTTCTCTCGCCCAGCTGGTGTGGCTCAGTGGTTGAGCACTGACCCATGTACCAAGAGGTCGCCATTTCAATTCCCAGTCAGGGCACATGCCCAATCCCCAATGGGGAGCATGCAGGAGGCAGCCAATCGATGTTCTCTCTTATCGATTTAGTGGTTTCTATCTCTCTCTCCCTCTCTAAAATCAATAAAGAAAAAATAAAAATAAAAATGCTTGTCTTACATCGACAGTTACATGGCACAAAAGAACCTTCTCCCCATTAATGGATGTTAAGTGCCCCTGGGTGAGCCGGGAGATTTTATGGGTAAGGCCACATGTCTTTAACACTGGGCTTTATATCAAGAAAGTAAATTTGCTTTGCTTTGCCTGGGAATTGAGAGGAAAGCGAACGTTCAGAGAGGACACTAGGACCCAAGCTCATGCAGCCTGTAACTTGAGTTTTGTCCATGCCTCTGCCAGAGACCCACTGTGACAGGAAATGGTCTCATTCTCCCCTAGTCCCTCTTTTTACCCCCTGCCTCCGGCCCACCATAGGCTTTTCCAAACTGTAAACCCAGAAAGCAGTGTGACACCAATGTCATCCACTGTTTGGGTGACAGGATTCCCACCGCAAGTGCCCATTTGGGAAATCTAGATGTTCACACCACCCAAGAAGCCCACAGGCCTGTGTTGATGGACAAAACGAAGAGCAAGGAGAAAATACATGGTCTAAGACAGGACACCCTAAGCTTGAGGAACTGAAAGTAGCTTATGTCAAGAGGACGCCTTAGCCCAGATGGCTGTCTTTTAATATGCGTGTAAACGTTAACGAGCTCAACACAAGATTAGGATTAAATGGCAGGGTTCTGGTGAAAACCCTCAATACTGACAATGAGAAATAAGTATCTTTCAACAATCAAAATTAGAGAAGAAACGCTGTAATACCTTGATTTAAGCAGGTATTGGTAACGCCACTGTACCGTTGATTAAATGCTTACCCTGTATGCCTAATTACCCTGCAGAACCATTAATACACAACCCTCCAATATGCATCATTTGCACGTGTTGGGTTTTATTTTATCATCACACTAGGTTGTTCAAGAATATTCAGTTCTCCCTCTTTGCAGCTCACACGGCTTGGTTACTTGTCTGCAACCATAGAGCTGAAAGGAACTTGACTAGGTTATGTTTATCAGCATGACCCAGCAAAGGGTATAAAATTACCAATGCCTCGCCCTGGCTGGTTTGGCTCAGCGGTTAGAGCATCGGCCCGTGGACCAATGAGACCCCAGTTCGATTCCGGTCAAGGGCATGGACCTTGGTTGCGGTTCCTCCCCGGCCCTGGTTGGGGTTGCGCGGAAGGCAACCAGTCGATGTGTCTCTCCCACATCGATGTTTCTCTCTGTCTGTCTCTCTCTCTCTCCCTCCCTCCCTCCTACTCTGTCTAAAGATAAATGGAAAAATATCCTCATGTGAGGATTAAAAAATAAAATAAAATAAAATTACCAATACCTCATTTTCAAACTCATGATTACACTTACCAAAGAGAGTCAGATCATCCTCCAACTAAGTCTTGCCCGTAACAGATATGTAATCATAGACATTTATGTCTCATTTTGTAAACTGTCTAAATTTTAAAGAAAAATACTCCCTAGTTTGCTTTCTTTTAAATTATTTTTAGCCCTGGCCAGTTTGGCTCAGCGGTTAGAGCGTCAGCCTGCGGTCCACAGAGACCCTGGTTCGGTTCCTGCTAAGGGCATGTACCTTGGCTGCAGTTGTCCCCGGCCCTGGTTGGGTCGTGTGGGTGGTGGCCACTCGATGTGTCCCTTTCACATTGATGTTTCTCTCTCTTCCTCTCTCTCCTTCCCACTCTATCTGAGTAAAAAATGGAAAAATGACCTCGGGTGAGGATAAAAAAATAAATAAATTAATTAATTAATTAAATTATTTTTAATTATAGATGTCACTCCTTTTTCCCTGATTGACACCCTCCTCCTGGCCCCCTGCTCCACCCCCCACTCCTCACCTTCACAGCACTGCTCTGTGTCCACTGGTTATGCATATAAGCATTTAAGTTCTTTGTTTTATCTCTTCCCAACACCCGACCCCCTTCTCTCTGAGGTTGGTCAGTCTGTTCCTTACTTCCATGTCTCTGGATCTATTTTGTTCATTATATTCCACAAATAAGCGAGATCATGTGATCCTTGTCTTGATCTGATTGGCTTATTTCACTTAACATAACACTTTCGAGGTCCCTCCTTGTCGTCTCAAAGGATGAGAGATCTTTCTTTCATACAGCTGCATAGTGTTCCACTGTGTGTGTGTACCACAGCTTTTTCATCCACTCATCTACTGATGGACACTTGGGCTGTTTCCAGATCTTAGCAACTGTAAATAGTGCTGCTATGAACATAGGGGTGCACATACTCTTTCTTTCTTTTTTTTTATCCTCACCCGAGGACATTTTTTCTATTTTTTGTTCAGATAGAGTGTGGGAGGGAGAGAGAGAGAGAGAAACATCGACGTGAAAGGGACACGTCGCGTGGTTGCCACCCACATGACCCAACCAGGGCCGGGGACAAACTGCAACCGAGGTTCGTGCCCCTAGCGGGAACCGAACCCAGGTCTCTCAGGACCGCAGGCCGACGCTCTAACCGCTGAGCCAAACCGGCCAGGGCCACATACTCTTTCTTATTGGTGTTTCAGGCTTCCTAGGATTTATTCCTAGAAGTGGAATCACTGGGTCAAGTGGCAGTTGCCTGGCTTGCTTTCTGTACATGTCCAACTACAGGAACTAATAGTAATTAACAAAGACTTTTAATGACCATTAATGACTACTAAGTTTCCATTAGCTGCTGACCTCCCAGCACGTGAAACCTGTTCAACATGTAACCTCACACAACCTGACAAGGATTCTGCAAGATGCTTTCACTCTCCTCCGGGGGCCATTCACTGCCAGCTAACCTGGGTGACATGTGAACGGGGAATCACGCCCTAGGAGTCCAGCCTGCCTGCAGCGCACCATCTGACAAGGCCCCCCGTATATGAACTTCAGTTCATTTTCACTTTATTGACAGGGAAGAAAATACACCAGTTCAGGAGGCGACGATAAGAAAATGGCGAGGAGGCAGAAGGGTCAGTCATATTTAGAGACAGAGGGTTAAAAAAAAAAAAAAGAGCCCTGTCCAGTTTGGCTCAGCGGTTGGAGCGTCGGCTGCAGACCAGAGAGACCCAGGTTTGGTTCCCGCTAAGGGCAGGCACCTCGGTTGCGGTTCACCCCGGTCCTGGTTGGGTCGATGTGTCTCTCTCACGTCAATGTTTCTCTCTCTCTCTTCCTCCCTCTCTTCCTCAATTTGAAGATAAATGCAAAAATGTCCTCAGGTAAGGATAAAGAAAAAAAAAAGAATTAATCTAACAGATTCTTTTACAAGCAGAAAGCAGACGAGAAGAAGGTGAGAAAACCACTGTCTTCCTCTTCCCCAGCCCCTTCCCAGCAAATGCTTAAACGGAAAACAGCTCCCGCCTATGTTTGCCCATCAGCTGCCCAGGGCGGAAACGTCCACCTCTGCAGAAGCGGGGGGCTAAGGGATTCGCACGAGGAATCTTTTCACTCCTGCATAAATCTCAAAGAGGGCTATCTCCTATGAGTTTCCAACTGCTAAATGGGGCTGAATTATCATCTTTATTTATAATCTTCTTACAGTTGTTCTCCTGAGAGCTGAATGAGACAGGTTAGAAATGTTAGCTGTTTGCCATTCTTTGAGAGTCTAACAAGGCAAAGTAGGTGACCTAAGTCACACAACATGTCCACGGCACATCTCAGCTCAACACCCAAATCTCCAGGCAGAACGGCCCACCCTTGTTTACTAACAAAAACGCCCCAAAGCAATATTCTGACTAAGAAGCCTGAAACAGAGACAACAGAAGATGGAAGGTGCAACAGATGTAAGATTCACAAATATCCAAAACACAAGGATAATATTTGGGAGTGGCAGGGAAAAAGATTAATTGATTTGGGGTGAGTAACATACAATAATTTCAGTCAATGTGGATTCGATTTTATATAGTATATTTTGAGTACAAAAAAAAAAATTTAGAACTTACTTTAGGCCTATAAAACATTCTATTTAAACTTTTTTTTTTGAGAGACACAAAAAGGAGAGAAAGAGGAGGAGGAAAGAAGGGAGGGAGGGGAGAGAGGGAGGGAGGAGGGGAGAGAGGGAGGGGAAGGGAGAGGGAGAGAGACACAGAGACAGAGACAGAGACAGAGACAGAGAGACAGAGAGAGAGAGACTGATTTGTTGTTCCAATTATTTATGCATTCATTGGCTGATTCATTCATTCTTGTATGTGCCCTGACTGGGGATCAAACCCTCAACCTTCACGTATCAGGACAGAGCTCTAACCAACTGAGCTACCCAGCCAGGGCCATAAAATATTCTATTTAAAGGAAACACATTTTTAACCTACCACCATTGATCAAAAATACCAAAATAAATGATAATTCTACATCCATACTTGATCTCGATTGCACTTTTTTTTTTAATCCTCACCTGAGGACGTTTTCGCATTTATCTTCAGATAGAGCGGGAGGGAGAGAGGAAGGAAGAGAGAAAGAGAAACATCAATGAGAGACACATTGAGTGGTTGCCACCCACATGACCCCAACCGGAGCCAGGGACAAACTGCAACCGAAGTACGTGCCCTTAGCGGGAACCGAATCGGGACTTCCTGGTCTGCAGGCCGATGCTCTAAGCACTGAGCCAAACCTGCCAGGGCTAGATTGCAGATTCTTAATCTTCTATGATCTATAACAAAAGGGACTTTGCACTTAAAACAATGTTAAAACTCCTTCTCAGCTTTTCACGTTCTCGGCCCCAAAAGCGGGAAGTTGTAGAGAAATGATTCTGTCTCCACGGGGAGAGAAGGTGCAATACTCTTCAGTGCACAGGACTGGGTACCACATCTCCTTGGCCAGCGTAGTCTGGGGTTAAGCTTGTGGAGCCGCAAATAAAAGAGAGTGCCTCCGGAAGGCTCCCGGCCTGGAGGGAAGGTTGCTACAACTAGAAGTGGAAAGGGCCGTTTGAAGCACTGAAAAGCAGAAATCGGAAGTGAACACGAGTCCTGCCGCTCCCCCAAGGGCTCTGAAGAGAGTGACTTCAGATGCAGAGATAAGGCCTTAGTCTTAAATCCCATTTCGTTTCCAAGGAGTGACTTGGGATCTTAGCCTAGCATTCCGACTAGGTTTTCTTATTGCAAACACATCATGCTTCTCAATCCACTGCAGTGATTCTCAACCAGGGGTGCTTTTGCCACCCAGGGGACATTTGGCAATGTCTGGAGATATGTTTGGTTGTCACAACTGGAGGGAAAGGTGCTACCGGCATCTACCTAGTAGACAGGGACCAGGCATGCAGCTAAATATCCTGTAATACACAAGATGCCCCACAATAAAGCACTATCCAGACCAAAATGTCAGTGGTGCTAGGTACCTATGCTTCAACTAGTATCAGACTATGTGCCTAGGGTTCAACTAATTTCCAGATGTGTGACTTTTTAAGGATACAAATGCAATGTATACATTTTAAAAATCCCAGGTGATAAAACTTTTGCTGTATTTAATTTTTTCCCCTGGGCTGTCGTCCACCATAAATTCTATATCTAAGTTGTCATGCCTGTTTCTAAATTGCACATAGTTTTTAAAATAAAATGCTTTGGTTCTATGATCTAATTCTTAATGTAATGGTCAAGGGGAATAAACTATAAAACATAATCTGAAATAATACCCACCTTTCCTCCAAGGAACTTGAGGGGAAAAAAAGGTTATTTTACATATTGCCTTTATATAAAAGACTTAACTCTCACGGCTGGGGGCATTCTGAAGAGTAGCTTCTCTAACCTCTTAATTTGTGCGTTTTTTACTCGAATCAGTATTCCAGAGAAAGAATAAAAGGCCAGACTCAGAAGGACTTGTGTAGGTCACTGAGTGGTTTGGTTGTGAAATTAGTCTTAAAATCTAAGTCGATTTTCTCTTGGACCTACCATTTTTTGCATAATTGACTTCCAAATTCACATTTTAATATGTATCAACTTTTGTAGAAGATTTTTTTAATAATTTTTTTTTTTTACTTTGTCATGTTTTTCCTAAAGTAGTCTCGCTTTTGATCTTAATAGCTACCCTCCTGCCTTACTACTGAGCACATATTTTAATTTTTACCATAGTTCCAGGACTTAGAATTGTCATTTTGAGCACTTGCTTCTTAATACCTAGGATATGTGGTTAAAATGCTGATTAATTTAAATTTTCTGCATAGAAAATACAGGATTTGAGATAATGAAGATTGCATGTCATCAAAATATTCTAAGCTTAAAAAAAACAACAATGTAACAGAAGACAGGCAAGGAAAATGAAGGAAAAAAAAATAAAATAAGCATTTTCCTTTCTTTTTGAACAAACTATAAGAATGTTCCTAAAAATGTCTTGTAGGGTATGAACAGATATTATCCATAAAAGGGTACCAAGGTCAAGTAAGTCTGGGAAACAGCTGTGTCCCCATCCACACTCTCATCCCCCAAGAGAAGTCATGTCATACCCTGGCAGACAAAGGCTCCCAAGTGTCACTCAGCTTTATCCCAGTATTTCCCAAACTTACGAGGATCACAGAATGCTTTTCAGTACAACCTATATTAAGCTATCTTATTGCATTTTGTTACCATCTTATTTGAGTTCATTTTAGCAGCTGATCCGAAATCTACTAGCTTGATGTGTCCCGTCCGATCGATGAGAATATTTTCAGGCTTGAGGTCTCTGTAAGAAAATCAGGCCACAAATTAATGTGTCTTCTCCATGCCAATCAGCAAGCAACTGCTCATCTAGGACACTGATTCAGCCAAGAATCTTACTGTCCGTGTTCTGCTATATAGACCTCCCAATTGATGGATATAAATAATAAGCACACATTTTGCAAAACAAATTCAAGAGGAGGAGGAGGAGGAGGAAGAGGATTACTGTGATTACTGGTCTCACCATCATTCCATTCCCACAACATTCTCAGATGTATATAAAACATCAGATGGCACAGCCAGTGTGGCTAAGTGAATTGAGCATCATCACATGAACTGAGAGGTCCCAGTTCAATTCCTGGACAGGCCACATGCCCAGATTGTGGGCTCGATCTCCAATAAGGGGCGTGCTGGAGGCAGCCAATAAATACTTCTCTCACACATGGATGTTTCTATCTCTCTCTCTAAAAAATCAATGAAAACATTTTTTAAAAATCAGATGAATGAGGATGCACAGAAACGCTATTAGAATTAGGATTTTTATGGAACACCTTTGTAAATTACTAACAGGTAAGGTCAAAAGTATTCCTCCATGGTCTGCTCCTACTTTGTATTTCAGCTCCTTCTGAAAGTCAAATTCCGTGTTTCTACCATGTAATCAAAAGAACCCATCTGAAAGCTCCTGGTCTTATTAACCACGTTTACAGATCTTACCAGCAAACTTAAGGACATTACAATTCTAGATCTACTTCACTGCTGAATGGGTAAGCTGAAATGCCTGCCATTTTGGAAAATTTCCTTTCAGCCAGTTATAGTGAAGACTGGCTCAAAATGGGATGGAAGGTTATTTTGATGCTGAAATCATTTACCCAGTTATTCTATTATTGGAACTGTTAGGTGATACAGATAAATTCTCAGTATTCTACCAGAGAGTCTCACTCACCGATGTACATATCCCATCTGATGAACACTGTGAACAGCCAAAATCAGTTCAGCTAGGTAAAACTGAATCATGTTTTCATCTAATTGGTCTTCATATCTATTCAAAAGTGACAGTAAGTCCCCTCCAGGCTGATATTCCATGACCTGTACAGAATGCCAAAGTTATTACTTCTTTATACATCCCCCCAACAAAAGGAAATGTCTCAATTAGATCCTCAAATCCTGCCTGACATGTTATAATTACAATGTCTCCACAAAGGAAGGAAGATGTGTGAGGCACAGAGTAAGTCACGGGGAATGAGGTCCCTGCCCTAAGGAAATTACATCCGTTCCCCAAGAGAATCAATAAAATGAAAGACTAGTACCAGACACCATGCGAGCTTGAAAATTTGAATTAAATCCACCCACTCGCCCACCCACCCACACTGACACCCCAGACACTCCCTAGGATGAGGTGCACAGCCGAGACGAAGATTCCTGGGGGCAACAAACCCTCAGGTACCCTTTCTGCACCCCCCTCAGCACCCAGCGAACACAGGAGGCGTGCAATAAAAGTGATACCATCTTTGCTTTTAGCAGTCAGTGTGGAAGGCAATCTGACTCTCTATTAAATATTTAAATGGGAGCATAGAGTGTTTGGCCTCGTAATTCCACTTCTGACAATTTATTTTACAGGAACTTGTAATAGTTTGTAGATAGACAGATAGATTCACTGCAGAACTATTTGTAACACAGAAGAAAAAAACCTGGAAATCGCCCAAACATCCATCAGTAAGGGACATGATATATCTAAACAATGGGATACAAAGCAGATATTAAAAATGAACGGACTCGCTCTATTCATAATACCATGGAAAGCAGTCCACAATATAAAGTGGCATCCTATGCAGGATAAAGTACAACCCCTTATTGTGATTTTTTTTAAACAAATGATTACATTTGTTGATATACACATAAGGCGGGGAAAATGTCTAGAAGAAAAAAATAAAGTAAAAAGTTTGATTAGCAAAAATTTCTTCCACACCAAGGAACCCTCGCAGTACGGAGCCCGACACCAACCAGGTCCTCCACACCATTCACGTCCTTGCATTCTGGGATGTGAATTCTCTCCACCCTCCTCCAAAGTCCTGCTTGCATTTAGTCCCGAATTAGAAGAGAGCTCCAATCAAGACAAACAAGGAGCGGCTGCCCATATCCCGAGGCCCCAGGCTAGTCCAGTCAAGACTCTCTCTGCCTGGCCCCAAGCCAACCCGAGACCCCCCCGGAGACATCAGCAATTTGCATGTCCTCCTGGAGGGCTCCACGTCACCTGAGTCTCCCCCATTCACATGGCACCGTACACACAGCAGACACCCAATAAAATACTGGAAAATTTGAAGACTGAGGTTCCATTTGTACTGCCAATGCTGAAAAAAACTGCTTTATGAACTAACAAGAACAGCAACTTAGAAGGGAAGGCAGCTAAAATGTGAACTTTTCTCTCCCCAGATTCACAGGAGACACGAGCTACTTGTCCCTGTACTGGAGGAACCTGCAGAAACCACGTAGCTGCCTGCAGCCCACCCACTCATCCCAGCCTGCTTCTCCATGGGCCCTGGGGATGTGGGTGGATGCTACTTTTTATGTCTGTTTTAAATATATATATACATTGCCAACAAAAGGTCTTAAATATCACCCCAAAATTCACACATAATAATAACAGAAGTACGCACACTTTTAGAACGGAAATGTCTTAAAATAAGAACAATGCATATTTATGATGACACGTGGCAGTTATAAATTTCCTAATCTGACTCTATTAAAGATGTGAAAAACAGAACAGCTTTTAAGTTTAAGGATGAGCAAGTCAAATACGTAGCAGCCACTGGCAACTTCTAAGCACTCACAAACTGACCACTGTTTAGTACTTAGAAGCTCCTCCTGAAGAATCTATTTGTAATAACCAGTAAAAAACAGTTCAGAAAATTAGAACCATCTCTTAGAAAGCCAAAGACATATGCATGCTGTTCAAAAAAATAAAATGTCCTGAGCTGGAAATCCCCGCCCAAACTAGATTAGTCTTTTCTATGAGTCAAACGACGTTTTATTTCTTCAAAACCAGGGTTGATTGAGAAGACAAGCAACAAAAATTACAACAGCTGCTAGGCAGCCTGCTCCAGAACGCGAGGCCAAAAAAGACACACGAAATGACAAACCACTAAAGAGACTGGGGCCTTATCAAAGGAACTCATCAAACTTGACCCACCAACATGATTCCAGATTACCATACAGAAAATTACAACTGTGCATCATTAGGAGAACTTGGCTTGGATGTTTACTGAGTAAATTTGGCTACCCCCAAGATGTTCCCTGTATCCTAAAACTATCCTACTGAGGTAGTTGTTCATCCTGGTGTGAACAAAGCCCACGTGAAAGACAGCTTGTGTGCGGCCAACCCAAGCTTAATCACTCATCTTGCTGTTGAGCTTAGAGATACAATAAAGAACCAGGACTTGGGCACGTTCAGAAAACACGTTTGGACTTTTAAAAATGGTACCAAATTTCCCGGCAAGTGTGGCTCAGTGGTTGAGAGTCTGTCATGCACCGAGAGGTCGCCAGTTTGATTCCCAGTCAGGGCACATGCCCAGGTTGTGGGCCCAATTCCCAGTGGGGAGCAGGCAGGAGGCAGCCAATTGATGTTCTCTCTCATTGATGTTTCTATCTCTCTCTCTCCCTCTCCCTTCCTCTCTCTCTAAAATCAATAAAGAAAAAAAAATGTGGATTCCAGGGACCAACTCAGACTCCGTGGGTCAAGCTCCATGGGTGGGGTCCAGTAATCCGCATTTTTCGGGAGCTATGGGGGTGACAGCCAGCCCAGCACTGCACTGCGACCCACTGCTCCTGAGGTTGTGGGGCCAGCGTGGCTCCCTGCTCCAACCAACTGAAGTCTCTGCAGCCCAGGTGCCCTGGTCTGAAACCTGGCCTCAACACAGCCATCACCTCTGTTGTGTCCATTTCTTCCAGTGCCTACCTGGAGCCTCTCTGCACAAGACAAGATCACTGACAACGGCTGGACAGTAACCAGTCTGTCAGCACTGAAGCAACAATCCCATCTCTGTAAGGACGGGAGCTGTCCCAGCACACTGAGCAGCTGTAGGTCGCCCAGATGGTGGTCGCCAAGGCATGCTGGTCACTGGCCAGGCAAGCGGGAGGAGTAAAGAGCCCTGCAGGGGAGCAGCCCAGTGTGACAACCCTGCGGGTGGCAGAGGAAGCACGGCAGCCGACAGGTGAGCCTGGCTTGGGGCTATAACGGACTTGCTCTTTGGTCACTTTATTTTTTTAAATCATCACCTGAAGATATTTTTCCATTTATCTTCAAATAGTGTGAGGGAGAGAACAGAGAGAAACATCGATGCGAGAGACACACATGATCGGTTGCCTCCCGCATGACCCAACCAGGGCCTGGGACCGAACTGCAACCGAGGTACGTGCCCCTGACCAGAATCAAACCCACGACTCTTTGGTCCATGGGCAGATGCTCCAAGTGCTGAGCCAAACCAGCCAGGACTCGACTTGCTCTTTTAAAGCAAAGACTTTCAGCCCGGCCGGTGTGGCTCAGTGGCTTGAGTGTCGTCCCAAGGACTGAGAGGTCCCGGTTCAATTCCCAGTCAGGGCACATGCCCAGGTTGTGGCCTCGATTCCCAGTGCGGGGTGTGCAGGAGGCAGCCTCACATCAATGCTTCTATCTCCTCTCCCTTCCTCTCTCTAAAAAATTAATAATAAAATAAAAATATTTATTAAAGCAAAGACATTCAGGCCAAGAGAGACAGAGCCTTCTGATGGCAGCAGCTGCAGATGCTAATTAAAAGGCGAGTCTTACATGCTTCTCTGTTGGTGTTTGCATCTATCCCCCCAAGTACTGGGATGGCAATTCCCACCAGCTGTGTTGCATTTGAAACCAAGGGCAAATGTGTGTGTGTGTGTGTGTGTGTGTGTGTGTGCATGCGTGTGCGTGCGATCGCTCACTTATGCATATACCTGCACACGTGTACGCACACGTATACATGTGGGGGGGGGTGTGAATACGTAACAGTTCTTTAGTACTCTAGTCCAGTGTGCCTAGAGTGTCATTAGAGGCACGCTGTGCTGGCCATCACTTACAAATATTGTCCTTGAAATGCTTGCACTACAATCAGCAAGACTGCAAGTGCCATGAAAATGTAACGATGCTGCTGGCATCACTATCTGCTCTGCCCGCTGTTCCTATCTCTGGCATGGGGGAGGAAGGAAGGGATCTTCTCCAGTGGTTCTCAACCTTCCTAATGCCGCGACCCTTTAATACAGTTCCTCGTGTTGTGGTGACCCCCAACCATAAAATTATTTTCATCGCTACTTCCTAACTGTAATTTTGCTACTATTATGTCTTAGGCGACCCCTGTGAAAGGGTCGTTTGACCCCCAAAGGGATTGCGACCCACAGGTTGAGAACCGCTGTGAGTCTAAGCAGAAAGGGCCCCGGCAGAGACCCTCAATTATTCTTCTTGAAAGGCAAGATGACCAAGAGAAAAAGAGAGGAGGCCCTTTATTTCAGAAAGTATGAATTCCAGCCTGATTCGTCCATGAATTCAAAAAATCCTCACTGAGCACTGAATCAGACCAGAAACAGACAGCACACTCACACTAGGTGGTTGAGGACCTGAGTCAATGAAGGGGCTATTACAAAGGCGTGGAGAGGGTTACTGGAAATAAACACGGGATGGTGAAGCACCCCGTGGCCAGTTAACAGCAGGGGAGCGAGTAGGTACCAGGCCTCGGCCTGAAAGAGCCAGAAAAGGAACTCAGATGTGAACACTGTTACTGCAGGAGTGAAGGAGGACTCCGGAACCAGAAACAAACTACAGCTGTAACAACAGCCATAGGACCATGGTTCTCAAAGTGGGGTCCGGCAGCAGGAGCCTCACCTGGGAGCCGGTTACAATGCAGATTCTTGGGCCCCACCCCAGACCTACGGAATCAGACACTGATGGCGGTGCCAGGCAAACTGGGACAACATAACAGTGGCACCTAAGATGGCAAAACTCTAAATGCACTCACTTGAAATATGCCTCAAAGACCAGGACACAAAGCAACTATTTGAAAGGCACACGCTACTCAAAGAACCTCCCC